CTCTTGTGAACTATGTGGAGGCCATGTTATTTTTCGAATCGCGTATTCATGTCCGATCAGAGTACCCACACAAGATGTGCGGTCGATAGATTGACTAGCCATCCGGATATCGTGAATCTTGCCAGTTTGATCAACCGAGCAGGTGGCTACAAGATGAGTAGCATACTTATTCCAATCCAGTCCGAGAACTTCATTAGCATGAGCGTTGATCACGAGAGCGGATTGCGAAGACGGGGGCGATCTGATATCCCAAATCTTGAGTGTTCCGTCAGATGAACAGCTAGCCAGAGTGTCTGGCGTAGCAGGAGAAAAGCGTGCCGCATAGACACAAGCCTCATGAGCTGGAATAGTCAATATTGACTGTGGCCTAGTTGGAGTCCACTATCAAGAGATCCACATTGTCAGTGTCAAAACCGTTTAATGAGGTCCTGAGCAAAAACAGATTTACAATCTTCACCAAATGATCCCATGAAGATGAGACAAAGATATCTTTTTTCAAGTTGTTCCAGTCCAAGCAAAAAACTTCACGCTGATGCTCAGCCCACGATTGCACAGGGAATTCCTAAGTACCTCGATAGAGTCAGTCAGATCTTTGAAGCTCGACGTTACTGAGGGGACTTGGAAAGAAGTATGTTGTATTGAGACTGGGATCACCATTCACGTTGAGAGTTATGTCCCAAAGCTTGATCGATCCATCGCCCGATCCGGTCACCAGTTGATTCTCGTGCACTTCTGACCATGCTAGATCATACAACCCATCCTGTGTGTCAAATCTGGGTGGTAAATCAAGGCTGGGTGTCAGTATCGACGCTTATGGAAGAAAGAAGCCCTCGAATAAGTCAAGATTCTTATTCACATCTTCTCTACTTCACACCGCACGGCTGGCTCAGCGTGCACAATATGTAATCTACCGTTGCCTACTAAGCCGAAATTGGCCGCAGTAGCAACTGCCAACTTGGCTGGGTAATATGGTGAAAACCCACATGAATACCCCGCAAAGTCAGGTGTCCGACATACCTGAAGCTGATGTTGATTGATCATACTCAAGGACAAGATAACGACGATATCAACCGTGGGGTGGAGGCGAATAGGATGAGGATTGAATTTTGATCGGCTAGATTCTGGAAACCTTTAACCGTCAACCTGGTCTTCAATCCCGTGGTCACTGTTGAAAGCCTTACCCGAATCCCTGGCACCGTGAGCCCGAGCTGAGGGTACACCGGGTTGTGGGCGCAGCGCGAAAAAGGCGCCTTGAGCGTCAAATGGCGAGCGCGCGCAGGCGTCAGAGAATTTGGATAATTGGGGGTTGGTGCGCCTTTTCAAAAATCGCACCAAATCTTAGGAATCCTACGTCCTGTCACCAATATTGGAGTTGACATCAGCAGTAGGACTTGTATACTAACTGAAAACTCCAGAGACAACTGTTGCTCACCTTGACATGGCAAAACTGTTTTGGCAGATGGCTCCAGCAACTTGAAAATTAGAAAAAATATTGAAGACTTCACTGCCAACATAGAGGGCTTGGGGTGAAAGTATGAGTCAATCATAAGACAAGCAATATGACGTGAGTAAGGATACTTGTGAGTGGTGAAGAGTTTCAACAGATGATGAACAAACTCAGTGAAGACTCATAGGTGGCTTGATAGACGAGAGAAAAGCAATACACAGCTGAGAGTTAAAACACACAGCACACATGTCAAATATAAGACAGAAGCACATTGTTCAGGAATAATAAACATCTCCCAGCGCTGATCATGACATAAGGTCACACAAATCACAACCACACTAATCATAAATGAAATCACAAAAAACAACCAACACAACTCTATTTGTAGTATTGCAACAGAGAGTAGGCCTTGAAAGGGACTTAGTTGAGTTAGCCTTTTGGGTTGGTAAGTCAGCCATTTTTTGACCATCAATCTCCATCAATCCATTGCGGTTATATTTAACGGCCCGCGGGAGGACCCTGGAATACAGTATGCCCCTACAGAGGGATTGCAAGATTTTTGAGGAACATTTCCACAAAAAGCTCGGATCTTTGGTAAACCCTCTGTGGCGTATTCCAGGCTATTCCAGAGTCCTTCCACGGGTCCTTCTCCTGGGGCTTTATAAAAAATATTCTTTGCATAACTCACTGGACAACAGATTTTCAATATCCTCATCTCCTCTACAATGTCATTAAAAAATTATCTCGCGCTTCTTGTGATTTGCACCGCAATCTCTATATTTCAAGTAAACGCCAAGACCGGGGTTGTACATTGTCCCGGTGGATACAGTAAGGGGGGTGGTGGAGCGAGTGAGTCTTGATTCCGCCTCTTTAAGTTTTACTCTCAATTAATCGCATCTGGGTTGATCACGCCTGGACTTGTTGCAGCTTGTTATGAGTCACCTGACGAAAACGGGATAACGCACGCTTGTCCCAGCGACAAATGCGGCCACGATGGTAAATTCACATAAATTTATCCATCTTCAAGATATCACAACCATTTAAGTAAATTCGACTTTTCTCCAAATATGACTACCGTAGGGAAGACATGGGTCTGGATGCATGGTTGTGTGCATTACCCGGATGGCACTGCCATAGGTTCAGAGCAATGCACGCAGTACACTTTCCTCCGTGACAATCTTTACGGTCAGTAAACATTCCCAATTCACTATGTGATATATACGTTTAATTGATCATCTGTTGCCCATTCCACTCCATGACCCCCTGCTATTTTTCTTATGCACATTTTCAGTCTGTACAACGATACACGGAAAAACCTATCAGTGTCCTCATAAGCTTTCTGACCCGTCAATATGTAAGCCCTATCCTTTGATGATTTAGAAGACGCTCAGGAAATGTGTTACTTATATTTATAATGTTTCTCTTTTAATCCAATCTATCAGCCTGTACAGATTGCTTCTATTAGATATTGGCTCTACAGTGTTGATGACTGTTGGAATGCATGGAAACCACAAGCTATTGTGCCTCGGTGTAACAATTTCATGAAATTCTTTACATATATAGACCCGGATGTGGAACTGAAGGGTGTTGTCTCGATTTCAGATATGACAAGCTTGTATCTGTGATGTAGGCTTATTCCAATCAGCGCATTCATTTTGAGCTTGGGCCGCAAAGCTCTTTCTTACTTAAATAACAAGTTGGTCTGGATCGTGTGAAATCTTGATCTTGTTTTACGAACGAGGTTGCCTGTGACATAGGATACCATTGACTATTTAGATGACGATGGAATTTCTTGACCTACAATCAGTTCTCCTGATAGCAAGAAGAAGCTGCAGGTTCTTCTTGTGCCCGTGCAAGGACTTTGATGACGTCCCTTCCGAGAAAAGGTTGACTTTTACTGACTAGTTTGATGATTAATCCGAAGAGGGACACCCAGAAACACAGGGGATAATTCACTCTGACTTCAATGACTGTGTATATGCCATCAGGTAGCCACCGAGCACCTTGTATAGCGTGAGCACATGAAGCTTCGGAAATTCAAGAGGAAAACATGTGTTGATGCTTGGAGGATCAAGGATGCAGTTCTGGATAATGGTGATGAATTATTGAGAAGTTGATGATCAAACTATTGGGGAAGATTTCAAAAATGTGACTTTGCGGACAGGGGGTAAGGATGACGAATGAAAATCCAAGGAAACTGCTCATGGCTCACTTTATATACTATCAATACATGCTTGCCTTGGCTAATGTTGATTCATCCTTTCCAAGCGCTCAATCTAACACGCTTCTGATTGGTTCGATCTCAATCCTGATGGAATTCTCAGTCGAGTCAACGCCCGGCGATATATTGGCCCAGCACTCCTCCAGATCAAGATAACCATTTGGACCAACGCGTATGTCTGAAATTGATGCAACTTGGTCATTTGACGCCTCGATCACCTCGAGCCTACCGTCGTTATCACTCACTCAAAAAAACATTTCAGAAGACGTTGAAATGTGAGATTGGTCCGATTCATAGTCGAGAACTCCTTCATCTCAAAGTCAAGCCATGTATTGATAAAAAACGGCACCGTTGGCAAAACATATCATGATCATGGATATAGCACGTTTAGATTGCTCATAATTGCACTTTCCTCCTCTCAAAACAAAGGACAAGCACAGAAAGTCCTGTAATGACATAAACATCGAGCAGCATTGATTGAGATGGTCATAAGAACCAGCCTTAATGACGAAAATTGGACTAAAACTCTTGAAACCCTTTTGAACCTATTTCTTTGTACCTACAAGATAAATAACAGATGTGAAGCGTTCGCCATCAGTTTCAAAGGGTTCTATGATTGTGAATATCATCGTGATGTAGACTGACCATTTAGTGAATTCAATAAACCCTTAATGAAATGTTACTTTCTTCAAACCACATGCTCTTCCGATACATAGACCATGTCGTCTAACCCCAACCGAAGCGAATCAACAAAAGAAACATTCTCAGAGGACTTAATTCAAATGAGTTTGAATGATAATTGACAAATCAACTTACCTTCTCTTGACCAGTCGATGGTTTCCATCAGAAGATGGGATGGATTGATTAGAAGGCAAACTTGAGCTTCCATCAAGAGTCGCAATTTGACTACGATAAGCCTTTTCCTGAGATATAGCATTCTCCGAGTTAGTGATGTTGCTCAAGGGTTCAATCGGTCCAGTTCCATTTTTAACAACTTCCATCTTCATTGTCGATAATGGCGAATTTCCTGTAGGCTCTGTGTTTAATTTCTCATCTACCATTGGCATCATCCTTCGGTCATCATACATCTCTATCGCTGCTGGTTTTTCGTCCATTCCCGTGCGCTTGTGAAACATCACACTCCGCTCGACATCTGAATTCGATTTCACCATTGGAAGTGCGCTGACTTTTATAGATGATGTTTGAAGAACGAGACCAATGAAGACGAGTGCGATTGGTACTTGAGAGATAGTGGACAACATTTTTGAAGATGATGTGTTGGATCTGGTGATAGATACGAGTTTCTCGGTGTGTCAATGAGAGTACGGACTCAGTCCAAAACAGAAGTCGAGCGGAAGAATTGATTGACAATAAAAAACTTGATCGAACTACACAGATGTTGAAGAGGGGAAAATGCCACTGCGAGGTTGAGCGTGAGGACGAAGGACTCAAGGAGAGCTGGAGGGAGAGCGAATCCAAGGGGGTTTTATAACATCAGCAAAATCTTTGCTCTCCTTCTCTGCTTGCCATCTTCCATGATTTCGCCTTACCTCATGTACTCGGCTGGACTGATATGGCAAATAAATGGATGGCAAGTCGTAGGGATGAGCTTGCAAGCCATCAACATCTTCTCAGCTCATGTTTATCAACTATTGCTTGGTGTTTAAACCAGGTTGATTAATTTCATCAGCCCACCGGGATGCGGTCTAAGCTTTCAAGTGAGACTCCGCGAGTATGTCGCCGTGTTATCAAAATAGTGAGGCCCAATCTTGTTCATTCCGTCGACTTGCCAGACAAGCTCTGCCCGCTCATTGCCGTTGATGGGGGGGGTCTCATCATGTTAGACCTAGCATATGCCCTGATGATGGCATATGTCCTGATGATGACTGACTTTGATGTGCCTTATTGCACGCTGTTGGATGACCCAACTCTGCTCTCGATAAAATGCCGAGTCAAAGATTTTAGGCAATACAGCTGAACAATTCAATAACCACTTGATCTCACATCACACTTGGTAGTCAAGGCGAATAGATGTGGATAACAGAAAGACGTGAAAGAATTCATGATTGAGCCAAACACATCACGAACATGAGGATATCAAGACGAGAAAGATAGAAAGTCCAAGTCGAGCTGTACATAAAAAGCAATTAACAAACAGCCAATCAGACAACGACAGTGGAAAAGAGCCCCAAGCAGTTGGAATAAATCAAGCACTATATCGAGATTATTTTGAGAGGGAGACAAGAACAGTAACGGTAAAAATTTCAGTATCGAGATCACAGAGCGGACCTTCTCGAGTTGCGCACAACCGATCAGGTCCTATTTTGATTCCTTTTCCTCTCTTTAAAGTGGTTTGCGGCAAATGAACTGAAAGAAACCAGAGTCCAACTATGGTTAGCATGCCGCGCCGGCGGAGAGTTGTCACGGACGCAAAGTCAATTTTGACGTACCAATTGCATAGGTGTAAATACACCAGCTGCACCTCCAACAACAAGGGCTTCTGCGGCGATATTTAGAGTTTCACCACAAGCCGTAGTCCCCTTAGGTATGAGGCCAGCGGCTTCGGCGGCAACACAGGCATAATGGGTAAAGCCACGACCCACACGGGTTAAGCGAAGCATAGTAAGATAATCCCATACTGTCTGGACATCGTTGAGGTTACCACGAAGTGGGTAATACCAGGGCAGAGCGTCATCACGAGTCGATAAGTCTTCGGAACGTAGGATCTCGAACCCGACAGCCTTGAGTCCTTCGGTGGCACGGGCAATGGTCCGAATCTCAGCAATCGCATCACCCAATTCAATCTCGTGTCGAATCCGTTGATGATCGACGTTGTCCTTGTCATATTTGTCGGTCATACACCACTCATAGAATCCGAACTGCAATCACAAAGTGCAAAGTGACATCAGGCCAGCATCGTTTCGATAAATACGATCAGACACCCAACGTACAATGGCGCCTGGTTTCAAGACCTTGTACACCTCACCATAGACGCCCTCGCAGACCGGCGCATGGCAAGTGGCTTCGATCGCATAGACAGCGTCAAATGTGTTTTCACCAAATTGCTCGGCCATATGCATGAAATCACCCTTTTCGTAGGTGATCTTGTGAGACAGGCCAGCGTCTTTGGTGTATTTTGTTGCACGGTCGACTTGGAAGATGTTGTTGTTGATACCAATGATATTAGCATCGGTAAAGACTGCGATCTCTCGAGCCGGTCCACCAACTCCAGCACCCACATCCAATACTTTCATATCGGCCTTGATACCCATCTGAGAAACTAGGTAGTGCTCATGTCGAGCAATGGCCTGTAAGAAAGGTTCACCCTTGTAAAATCGGCAGAAATGAAAGTTCTGTGCATTGAAAACAGAAAAAAAAACGTTCTTAGTCGATAAACTTGTTCATTGGAATGATACAAAAAAGGATGGTCGACGACAAAGTCTTACCTTTCCCCAACCGTATTCAAATAAATCGGTCACACCATCATAGTAGCCGTTGACCATACCTTCGTATTCATCACGTCTCTTGACATCGTCTGCTTGGGTGTTCTTGGTGTGATCTTTGTTCCAGAATTTGGCATACTGCACGATATTTTCTCGATTCTTGAGATCACCGTTTGTACGGTTAGCATTGTGAGCCGAGGTTTGCGCTGATCCAGTCATGATGATCGGGAGAATATCTATGTAGATGTAGGATTCAACTCTGTCAAGGAAAAGTAGCGAGCCAAAAAAAGCAGAGTCAGAAATCAAAAGAAGAGGTAAGGAGAGGAAGCGACAGTAGGGAAGAGAGATATAAAAAAAGGTCAAACTAACAAAGATTGACAAGAGATGGACGAAGTCAAGAAGGAAAAGGAAAAGGAAAAGGCGATGGGGATGAGAATGAGAATGAGGATGGGAAGAAAGAAATTGAATGAAAGTTGGTTGACGATGATCGAAGGCAGTGTAAATCAGCTTAAGACTTAAGTTATGTGACATAATCTCACCAATACATACATCGGACTTTTCAACTTACATACATCAAACTTTATGTACTTTGAATCTGTACTTAAGTATAATTCGTTGCGTACAAAGGAATTATCTTCCCCGTGTTTTGATCGATCAAGCTTTCTCCTTCCGCTTCGACCAATTTGACACCGCATTTGAAGCTGTCAACTCGGCTGGACTTTCCTTTTGCATTCAAGTATGTACCTCTCCAATTGCAACACCCACAAAATTCCCCAACCTTGGCAGCCGCAGTAGCAACCGACTCAAACCTTCAATCAGAATTTTCGCGACCTTCAACGAAGTAAGAAACATAGGTATAGGTGGTACCCACATGAATGACCTTCGAGTCTGGGAGGTAGTGCTAGTTATGCATATTTTCTCTTTTTGAAAGTTGCGATCTACATAAATATCTCAGAAAATCGTACATGTGAAGCCGGTATTCTGATTCCCGAATATGGATTCAAACTCTTGATCTCATGGTGCATTTCTACCAAAACTCCACTGTCCCCGATATACCAGTCACCGCATCAGCTAGCTTGATGATTTGTGATTTGGCCAGTGTGTTCAAGAGTAACACAAGTTGGCCACAGGTTCCCCGGCTGATTATCTGTTGTTAGAATGGACATCAGTATCGTACTTGTTCAACTATCATTTTAATCATCTGTTACCGCAATCAAAGTCAATCATGCTCTTTGTGTCATAGTAGACGGTGATAATTGATAAAACCTATCAAGTCCTGCTGCCGTATCGTAGTCTGAAGAATCATACATAGTCCGAAAATCGACACTTGAACACTAACGTGTACAACGCGTCACCGACACAATTGAGACGCCCAGATCGATGTAGATCGCGGTTGATATACAAACATAATGTTCATTGAATGAGCTCCAAGGTGTAATTATTGCCTCAAGGATATTCCCTTCAGGTGCATATGAGATTTGACCGGCTAGCTCAGGGAGGCACTCCCGCCGAGTCGGTATAAGTAAGAGTATCAAGTATATACGTTGTCGGAAGCTGAGATGTATTTGCGTACATGGCCCAGTACCTCCTGTGAATGGATAGCCATCTCATGAGCCAAGAGCATTGCCGAGAACCACTTTGTTGCCACTTACCAATCAGTATCAGAATGTGATTCTTTGCTTATGTTTTATTATCCTAAGAACCGCTGAGAGAAAACTCGCTGCAATGTAAAACTCACCTTATAGCATCCATTCAGGGTTTTTTGCCAAAGGAGATGTACGGAATGTATTTGTACATCTTTAGATGTCGTCTTTTGTCAACTCGACGTATCCATAATAGACGCAGCTGTCTCTATCTGGAAATGGGTCAGATCATGCCCACCGCATAAATCACAGGGAGTGCTGATGACGTTGTCGCACATCTGGAATCGAGTGGTTGATTGGAAGGCTGAGCAATGGAAAGTGTTTGATTGTCACATTATCACATGGCTTTGAGAACGTATGCATTTGTTTTAAAGCGACTCATAGTGCTCGGAAGGATTAAATCGGGACTGGAGATGATAGCCAAATCGATTTCTAATAAAAACACACGTAGTGTACAAGCTATAACCGCGAAACGAAAACAAGATGGCACGTTTGGGAACTCGTGCACCAATGTCAACCATGACACGATTCTCAAAAATCTTAGAAAAGGATCCATAGAGAAAGTGAGGCAGAGATGAAAGTGAAGAGATGAAATCACATGAGAGAAATTGGAACATCATAACACCCTTATCATACATCCTAAACATATTTGATACATTTTTGAAGCCGAAATGATGTGTTAATCTACTTAAAACTCTTCGAGCTTGGATTGAAGCTCTTCCTTCTTGCTATCGCTTACATTTGGGTTCTACCGCATTGTTGGAGTCAGTACAATGGTTTAAGGAATTATGATCAAAACCTTAAGAGCAAACCTTCAAAGCAGCCTTCATCCCTCCTATAACATTTCCAGGGTTTTTGGCCTCGGTGGTTTTTTCAGATTCATCGGCCGTCGTAGAAAAGTCTTCATTCTCCAATCGGTCCAGAGCTCTCTCTTTAGCTTCTTCAGACACGTTCTAAATGAGGTTCAAGATAGATTGAAAGAAAAAAAATGAGTAACAAATGGTGACAGAAGAACAGAAATGGTAAAGAGGGCATACTGGGTTTTTAAGAGTAGCTTTAAGACCACCAGCTATATGATTAGCGCTAGACATGGCTTTAATGTTTGATAAGAATAGATAATACGTCGTGTTGGTTGGTTTTTGGGAATTGAGACGGGGGGCACGACAAGGGCCGAATCTAAATATCTGAGGACGACGGTGAAGAGAGCAATTGAAAAAGGCTGAGAGCGGGAAGGAAGATCCAAAGGCTGGTTAGACGTAGTAAATGTCGTAAGGGAGATCGGAAGAGGCGAGTATATTCAAAGGTTTGCTTTTAAATTTTAGTACAAAGTTAATGTATATTCTTTCTGCGGTGACACGAATATCGAATCGAGAGTCCAAGGTGAGGAATGTGATTGAGAGTGAGCTTTATATCATTTCGTGATCAGCTTTAACAGGGGACACGTAAGATCGGTGACGTATAGGCATATCGGAAGATGTGGCTCACTAACGCTTTGACTTTCATCGAGACTAAAGCTGAGCCATTTCAAGGAACTCATGTTATGAGTAAGATTGATCACGTCGTGTATCATCACAGTCAGTGACGCTTTTTCATTGAAATTCATGGTCGAAATCTTACTCACCCGTTGCTGGTGAGGCGATTTACAAAATTAGGACTTGTCTGAGAGCACAGCAAAATCAGTGATCACGGATGATTCAGGTGGTAATGGCTTATGGATCGAACAATTTAATTCGATCCTCAACATGGATTTACATGCCAATTTGTACTTTGTCTTTCTTTAAATTTGGGCTTTATTCTCAAGAAACGCTCATTCGCATATCAGATGTTTTCATCTTTGTACCTCCGAGGCCAGAGAATCTCGACCGGGCGCAGTAGCGACTCGTCGAGGATCAGCGAAAGTATGTTACTGGTCCACGAACTAGTTCACAACTCAGTGAGCCCGTAGGAAAGCGTAAGCTCAAGGCAGATTCAGGCTTTCAGAGCTATCCATGTCAATGAAAAAGCTGCAGATTAATTTAGAAACTCAGGCTCTAACGTTGCCGTAAAATTAAGCGCCGTCCTCGTTCAGCTAGGAGTGGTGAACTGCCTTGTGCGGCGTATGATGATACCACCCTAACCTTGCAAGATGTGTCCTTGTGATTGATTGTGTAGTAGGACTACATAATGGTGCTTGTTACCTCAGGGAGTCGGTGACCAAAAAAGCACGCCGTTAACTTGCAGAGCGTGACAAGCGATGAGGGCAATTGGTAAGTGGCAGGGGATCCAGTGTCCGGCGGGCCATCAGCTGTCTATCCTTTGCCGCTCACGTGTGGCACGCGAGTGAAAGACGCTTTGAAGAACAACAATAGGAGAGACTTGTATTCCACCGCACAGATTCTTATCCATGAATACTTTGAGGTTGGTGTTCTATTAACTTAGTGGAGTCCGCAAGATGGATTCAGGTAGGAAAACGACAGACTGAGGATCCCCTGATTACGATTTCAGCCATACCCAAAGAATCCTAGTGGGAAAGAAGTCGACGAAGGAGCTCAGGCGTAAACCCCAGTCAGTTAAGGAAAACAATGGGTCAGAGATCCCAGCCAGCTTCTGAGTGCATCCGACAACTAGCAACATTTCCATGGATATCAAATATTGAAGCTCTTTGCTGTTTCCGTGAAAAAATTTCCTTCACTGCTAGTTCCTCGCCAACACTAGATCTCCTGTTACCTGAAACATCCTCAGCTCTGTGTTTACTGAATTTTTCTCGTCAAACAAAACTCGTAGTGTTTTTTCTCTTCCCGTCCACCCTCACCAGAAAACATATTACTATTAGGGAAGCAAAGGGGGATTAGGAGATATAGGCATATAGATAGAAATTGAAAAAAATAAAAGAATAAAACAAAGTATAAAAAAAAGATTGGTAAGACATAGTAAAATTATAGATGTGTTGCAAGGTAGTGAAATGCTCGAAATTTTTTTCTTTTATTCTTCTGATTCACCACAAAGAGTTACATAATAAAGTTTTGATTGATACTAAATTTTTTTAATAAGTTACAGCCAGAAAAAGTATAATAAGAAGTAGAGCGATTTGTTTTGTTAAAGCGCTAAAAAAAGAGAGAGTTTTTTATGTTTGTTTAGCGATTTTATTGTCTTTGGCCTCAGGCCTTCCCATAGGGGTGTTTCTTTCATTGTTGCAGATTTCAAGTCTAGTTTGTTATCTCTCAAGTTCTTCCTCAATAAGTTCAGCAATACAAGAAAACCCTGTCGTGCGTGCCGCGTTGTGGCACCACTCCGCGTACACCTAGTCATCACAGACAAGAGAGAAAAATAGCCACATCCATCACAGCTAATTCCTCAACAATTCACACGTCCATGGTTCATTCATCTGATAAGCGGCTGTGAAAAAGGCTATATGCAATGCGAGGAGATGAAAAAAATATACAAATGCTATGTTTACACATGATACTTGATCCAATGACCCTTTTTGTTGAACAATGTGAGGGATATGTGCATTCTTGGTATCCCTCACGCTGTTTGATCCCTGGTAATCTCGTGTTGTACCTCTCACAGAGTGATTGTTCTGCTGTTCCGTTCGTCATTCCCCAGACATGGCGGGTGTAACTATCCTTGTTTGTACAACACAACTCTATCTTTTTTGGAGCACATCAAGTAGTGGCTCAAGATTTTTACAATTAGGAAATTTTGCCCTGGATCACTATCTCCACATAATCAATCAACGAGGAAATGATAAATGTGACACATGCACAGAAGAGAGGATGTAAAAAATGCTCATCTGCTGCAACAAGTACCAGAGACAAAGGAGAACTTTGCAAGGAGCACCTAGGGAAGATGAGTTTGTATTCAATGTGATGATAGAAAAGACAGTACTGGTTAAAGTAAGCACATCTAAACATTTATTGAACAGACTGGGAGGTTTTTACATTTCTAAACTTTTGCTGAATGATTTATCAATTTGAGATACCAGAGGTTTCCTTTCTCTTTTTGAGGCGTTTTGGGGTTTGATAAACTCCACTCTTGAGTCTTGATATATATTGGATTAGATTGTCCAGAACATCAAGGGAAGGGAGTGTAAAGCATCCCATCAACAAATAGAGACATATGGGCAATGTTGTAAGCTCTTTAATTCCTTGTAGAGCAGATGATGTGGAATGTAAAAGCTAAACAGTTGACAGAGATACACAAGATATTGTGGTAGAATATCATTCATATGTCCCAAATATGAATACATTTACGGTATTCAAAGCAAGTATGTAGGTGTACATACTTTGCGCTACATACTTTTTTTTGGCAGGGAGAAAAACAAAAATATACTTTTGGTCTTGTTTTCCCCGCCAAAAAAAAGTATGTAGCAAAAAGTATGTACACATACATACTTGCTTTGAGTACCCTAAATTAGGTAAATGGAACTGCAGCATGTTCAAGGCTCTTCAAAAACCCTTGGTGATCTGTCTGAGACACAGTGAGCCATATGATTTAGTGCAAGTGGACTGGCAAGCTGTGTGAGACTGGATAACCTATAATGGTACTCAAAGTAACTAGGCGGTTTCTGACAACTTTGAAACCTAGAACCTACTTTCTTTTGGCGGGGATTTTTTTGAAAAGTATGTTTTTGCCAACAGGGCAGCTTTGAGGACCCCGTGCCTGCTTTTACCGTATCTTTATATAGCCTCTGTCACATAATGCCTTGCATTGGCCTCCGGCAAGACTTCACCTCAACATCATGACAACGGCATCAGAAATCTTAATCAATAACTCTGACCAAGCCCTACTAGTCTCCATCCACTCCCTTGTTCAGGCTTTGAACAACTTCCTTATTGGTATCTGTCGTCTTCAAGAGTTTTCTGCATCACAGCAAGCCATCCATCAACATGCTTTGAAGATTGGTATGGTGATTGGCCAAGCCCTTGAAGACCTTACTCACCTCCAATATGTTGGATCAAGAACCTACAATAGACGTACGGCTTTCCAACAAAAACACTTCCGTGAGATTTACATTGATTATTACAAAACTTCACATCATTAATCAATCAAACTTCAAATCCAATAACAAAAGATGTTCCATTTGAAATACCAATTAAACATTTTTCTTCTTGGTTTTGTTAGGTCATTGGCATGAAAGTCTGGTGAAAGCTGATCATTGGAATGCAAAAGAACCTGGTAGTTGGAATGCAACTGAACAAATTCAACTTGAAACACATGCTCAGATATCAATCAATTTTTGAAACGATTGATTGATTCAACTTTCTCTTAAAAGAGAGTTGACCCAATCACTCTCCACTCAGGCTTCTATTCAATTATATTCAAGTCTTCATTTCAGATATTCACAAAAATAGACCAAGAAATACACAAAAACAATAACAATCTTTGAACAATTGATTGATCTAAAAAACAACTAATTGTCACACTTCTCACCGGTCTAGAAGATAACTCACACTGATCACTCTCAAACAGATGATTTGTTCACATATAAGCATCATAGTTTCCATTTCAGAGACAATCTGAAGGGAAACACCACCAACATATTTACCTCGGATTACAAAATCCAAGGTGTCCTCGGATGCAAAACCTCGGACAGAAGCTTCCCGAGGTTTTGATCCGAGGTAATTCTCAGGGCAAAAAAATACCTTGGGCAAAAACCTCGGACAAGGTCTGTCTGAGGATTTGCCTCCAATGATGCCTCGGATTTCTCAACCCGAGGCATCTATGCTGGCAGTGAAAATAATTATGGCAGTCTTTTGTGTCTTTGGTATCAAAATTGAGAGAATTAAGAGTGAAAAAATGTTTTTCATTGGTTTTTATTTGTTGTAAATGAGATCAAAGAGTAATTCTTTGTGGTAGTAATAGTTGGTATTGAGAGGGGACAATCCTGCGTAATCTTGTTTATTCAAAATGTAGACATCAGGTTTTGAGGTAAGGAGTTGAATGGTTAACTACAAACCGTTAGTAAAATCTTTGGTCATCTTTCTAGCCTTGGCATGAGGGACACCAGCTTTAGTTATGGAAAGCAGTTGTGGGTGAAGCAGGAGACAGAGGGTTTGCGGAATAGGATGGTGGCAATTGATCTGACATGATGAGTGTGAGATTGTGTGTGTGGTGACAGTTGGGGCTCAACAACCGAGAAAATTGAAAGTAGGCACCCCGCACGGCAGTACAAGAGTGCTTGCCTCCTTTTTCCGGTTGGTGCCTACTTTTTGAAGTTAGGTTTCCCAACTAGGTCCAACTAGGTAGATTTCACCTAGTTACTTTGAGCACCGTTTATGTGCATACATTTGAGGGCTTAGAAAACAAAAACTGATAATTTGCATGAGCTTGGAAGAGTTGTTGTTCTCCATATTGAACAGCCTTACCTAGTTTCCAAACAAAATTCTTGGGCATCACATGGCCACTTGTTCTTTATCTATTCACATATTAGGGGTTGGGTGA